GATGGATGGATGGATGGATGGATGGATGGATGGATGGATGGATGGATGGATGGTTGGATGGATGGATGGGTGATTAATTGCTCAATAAGGGCAAAAACCTAGTTTATGTAATACATATTTACTCTTTTTCGCAGGAAATCTCCGACTCATCACCTGCAACATTTGCTTCCATTGCACATCAACTCATCGCCATAATGCCATTGGTTCCCACATTCAATCTGTCCTCAAACATCACTAACTCCTCTCCAAATGCCAGTGCTCCCCCTTTTGATTACATGAAGACTTGCAGCAAATTTCTAAACCTGCGAGAAGAGACACCAACAGAATCAGGGCTAAAGGTCGCAGCCTATGCCGTGGCATTCATGTTGGCTATGATTGGAAACATCCTTGTCATAGTCATCGTTCTTCGAAAAAACCATTTAAAGACAACTACAAATCTATTCATTGTCAACATGGCGTTCAGTGACGTCCTGATGGCTTTAGTTTGTATGCCTACCACTATGTACAGCATTGCTTCCAAAAACCTTGGACAAAGCATCACTGGGATCGCAGGTTTGATTATGTGTAAATCCTTGCCGTTTCTACAAGGACTAGCGGTAGCTGTCTCTATATTGACTTTATCAACGCTCGCAGCAGATCGCTTCCTTGCCATAGTGTATCCATTTGAGAACTTCATTTCAAAGTCTCGGGCAAAGATACTTATTGGCTTGGTTTGGTTTGTTGGGTTTGCGTTTAATGCACCTTTAATTTACGCGATGAAGTTTTACTTTGAGGAGGGAAGATGGTACTGCCACGAGAGATGGGCTCCGGTCTTTGATGAAAACAAAGCTGCAAGAGACTACACCGTTGTACTCTTCGTCTTCCTCTACGCCATTCCTCTAATCCTGGTCACGTTCTTCTACACTGCGCTCATCAGGGAACTSTGGCGAGGAAAATCTTTACATTCCAACAAGACGAGAGCATTAACTGAGAACAAAGCTGTGCTGAAGATGGTGTTTACTGTCATCGTCGCCTTTGCAATTTGTTGGCTTCCTGTTCATGTGAACATGTTTATTGTATTATTTTCCAACGACATAATGATCAATATTTGTGGAATGAGACCAACTATTATTTTCATTGGCTGGTTTTTGGCTCACGTGAACAGCTCCATCAATCCCATAATATACTTCATTTTCAACGAGAACTTTCGACGCGAAGTTGTCAAAATGATGGTGAATATTCGTGACTTTTCTCTAAGACGAAAGCGATCTTCGAGAGATATACCGCTACCAGTGAACAGACGTGGAACGACAACACAGAACACGCATAACATAAGTTTGTCTTCTAATGAGGAAAACCACACGGGGAAAAACAACGAAGCTTTCGAAATGGTATCTGAAAATGGAGCTGCAGCAGCGAACGGTTCGGCAAACTTGGCAACGTAAAGAAGGCTGAGTGAGTTCCTGTCGGAAAAGAAGAGTTTAAGAAAAATTGCGCGCATACAGACTGAAAATATAGTTTCCCTCAACGTAGAGTAAAGGGGAAAATGTTACCAATAATAACAAAATAATGTACTACCACCAAGTATTAATTAGAAGTTAAAATACAGTAATTATGCTTCATAGGTCTGTTGAAGCAGTCATATCCCTGATGCCAAACAAAATGAAGTTGGTAGCTAATGCCAATATCAAGCATATATAGTAACAAAATATACTTACTACGCGAACAAACAGACCTCGAAATGAACTCAGTACAGCTTACAATGTACAAAGAACCTAGTACACCCTCAAAACAATCAACGGAAAGAGCGCGCGCTCGTTGACGTCAGCTTTATCTGTCTGTCCTCTTACTGATGATAAAAAATAACCAATCAGCGCGCGAGAAATTTGTAAGTTATTGTAAAAAAGGCAATAGATTACGTCATATAGTGATATCTCCTTCAACTAGACAAGCTTCAATAGATGTTGCACTTTGTATTGTTTAACGAGCCAATCAATGATACTGCAATAGACTATGTCACACAGTGTGATATCTCCTTAAGAAAACGATGATCCACTTTTTTTTATTTCAGAAGATGTCATCATTCCCTAGAATATTGTTTTTTTATTCAGTAACACTCAAGAAGGTGCATTAGTAGAAAAGACAATAAAGACAGAATCTTATTCTCAAGAGAATGACACRTGGTCTGAAATGGGAAAACATTACGCCCAAGGTAAACGGGTCTCTTCGATGTATATATTAGGCTGAGTCGCTTTTCGACGAAATTCGAAGAATTAACTTAGGTGAACATTACTAGAATTCAAACTAATGTAAAAACTATAGTAAAGTCATGATACAACAGAAGCATGATTACCAACATATATGATATAACAATAGACATGGCGGCCATGTCTTCTGTTATATGATCCAACATAATATGATAGCCGTGTCTTTTGTTATATCATCCAAGATGGCGGACAAGTGTTGCTAATTCATCCAACATGGTGGCCATGTCTATTGTTTTATCATTCCGGTCCTTGGTAATGACTTTCTATCTATTTTTAGAAAATATAAAGCGTCGAACGTTTGCACCATCTCTTAGGAAAACGTTAGGAGGGGGGTCAATTGACAAATGTGGCGACCTCCCTTCTATGTTTTAAATGTCCTTATATGGTTAGGAATCAATCACGTGACTAGTTAGTTTATTCACGTGACTAGTTATATTATTAAGAGTAGTTCCTGCACAGAGTGACTCTAGACTGTAATGACCTAGTGTAGGATGGAAATCCTTAATAATAAAGTCATATATTGAGTAAATAAACAAACTGAAACATACTGTAATGTAGCCTTGTTGTAAATAAAGTCCACAGTCACGTCCTCTCAACATTTCCTCGCGGTGAAAAGACATCCCGCCGCCACTGATGCAGAAAGTGATGACGCGATAAGGATTTTTGCCAGGATACATGTTCCTTAGGAAGCGGCAACATAAGTGAAAGAAAACAATTTGAATATCTAGGAAGCTCTAAAAGCAGGATATCAGCTCATAATGTATAAATATATCCAGTAAATATTATTGTTGTAGCGGAACTTTGTCTTTGTGGACTCATAATGACATTCATAAAGGTTCTCCTGTTGTTTCCTTTCCTTTCTCTCTTCAATGATAGCAGAGTGACACTCGTTTCTTATCTCTGGTAGTCTTTGGTTCCGTTCCTAGTCTCGGCATCACATGTGAACAGAGTTTGCTAGTTTCTCCCTTGATTCGAGGGTTTTTCTCCGAGCTCTTCTGTTTTCCTCTGATCTTTGAATCAGTCACGGCCATGCACATTGACTTTGATCAGCCAAGGGGTTGTTTCAGAGACTGCTTTTTCATTGGCTAAGACAGATATCACGTCATTTCAATTTATTATTATTATTTGTAAGAAAACTAGGGCCAGAAATATTTGACAAGAAAGTATATTCAATTATTAAGGTAATCATGAAATGGTAACGGAGCGCATTCATAAGGCGACTTATTGTGCAAATCAAGATGTTTTTTTATCTCTGTGTTTACCTATTTGTTCTTCACTTATCTGCCATATATATATATTGGCTGTGTATAATATGTGCGCATCAGAACAACATTATAGATCACTATAAATAACATGAAGTGCAAACAGAGATACACGAACACACACGGAGATCTAGGGAGATGAAAAAAAAGTGTCAGACAAGGGTTATTAATTGGTCGCATATCAAGGATCATTGCGGGTAATAGATCAAATAAAGCAGTTCCACCACAAATCGTATTGGTTGTGTTCATAGGTCATTGGTCGTATGTRAAAGATCGATCAGTGATCGAATTGGACAGGTCAGTTCTTGGTCGCATATCAAAGGTCATTGGTCGCATGTGAAAGATCGATCAGTGGTCGAATTGGACAGGTCAGTTCTTGGTCGCATATCGAAGATCATTGGTCGCATGTGAAAGATCGATCAGTGATTGACTGAATTGGACAGGTCAGTTCTTGGTCGCATATCGAAGATCATTGGTCGCATGTGAAAGATCGATCAGTGATCGAATTGGACAGGTCAGTTCTTGGTCGCATATCAAAGGTCATTGGTCGCATGTGAAAGATCGATCAGTGNTCGCATGTGAAAGATCGATCAGTGATCGAATTGGACAGGTCAGTTCTTGGTCGCATATCAAAGGTCATTGGTCGCATGTGAAAGATCGATCAGTGATCGAATTGGACAGGTCAGTCCTTGGTCGCATAAGGTCATTGGTCATTCTGGACAGATCGATAATCACGTGACAAATGCTTGCCGCGAGAATTACTGCTTGCATTGGACCGGTCAGTGGTCGCATTAAACGGGTCCACTCTAAAACAGCAAGGCTGCCTGTGGTTTGTCGTGACAGTTTGAGAGACTGGAGACTAGTAGTCGCGGACATATAGAGTTAATTAGAACTGAGAAAGAGATGATTGAATGAATGCTTATGAGGCCCCGTCCATACAATGCCGGATAAATTTTAATCCGAATTTTTATTTATTCGGTTAGGCCTACCGTCCACACTAGTCCGGGCAATTCACCGAAAACGATTTTTTTCAAATACGGTCTCCGGAGTGGAACAATTTGAAAACGCCGGCTAGCCGTATTAGGCCCCGTCCACACGTATCCGGAAATTTTTGTGTCTGTATCCGCAAATTTTACGAAAACGGATACGTGTGGACGGTGAAAACGATTCGAATACGCTGCGTGTGGACGCAAACATTTTCGTATCCGCAAAGAATAATTTGCGGATACAAAAATTTCCGGATACGTGTGGACGGGGCCTTAGTGTGGGCGGAAAACTTTTTTTTCGGTTTCGGTTTGAAAATTCGGATTCATATTTATCCGGCATAGTGTGGACGGGGCCTAAGAGTATCAAAAAATGCGAGTTTAAATCTTAAAAATCCCATTAGACAAAATAGTCTCATACCCACGTGAYATGACACAGATAGACTAATATATCCCATAACATCTCATTCAAGTAATAAACACATTTGATCTCTGTCATCGTTAATTCATCATGCACTCATCTTCTCCATTCATGACGGTGACCATGGCACGAGTTGACGAACATGATCAAAATGCTAATCACATGAATGAGAAATAATCAAAAAAAGGATTCATTTGAATACAGGAAAAAATAATATAGAATTGAAATGTTTGCCTTTTGTTGTGACAAGACTTGGGCCAAATTCTGTGTGCAAAATATACTTGTTTGTTGCATACGAGGTAAGCAAAGGATGGTAATTTCAAAAGTTGATTACGATCTGAACTAATAACACGCTACTGAAAAAAAATAAAAATAAATAAAAGCACTGGGGAGTCAAGTTTATCTTATCGAGGACGATAATCACTTCCAGGAAATTCTTTTGTTTTCCAAAGAACAGACTTTTATTTCGGAAACAAGAATATTTTATCCGCAGAGAAAGCGCAAAAATACCAAATTTGTGTGAAAACACAGTTCATCTGACAACAAAGGTAAGTGTAGGTTTTTCTCTAGATATCTATAACACTTAAAATCATTTGAGCCCGTTTATCTAGACCATAAGAATCATTAGAGGAAATTTTATATGTTTTCAAAATTAGACGTCTTTTCACTCTAGTTGGTGGTATTGTAGATTATCGCCGTACTAATCAGGTATATGACTTACGGGTATGGATTATATATGCTATTGATGATAATGATAATGATGATGGTGATGATGGGGATGATACTTGATGATACTGATGTTGGTGATGATGGTGATGGTGCATGATGATGATGGTGATGATGGTGATAATGATACTGATGATGATGATGATACTGATGGTGGTGATGATAGTGATGGTACATGATGGTGACGTTGATGATGATAATGATCAATGATTGCGATGATATGAATGATGATCATACATGATGATGATTATTTTGTTGATGACGCTGATGAAGATGATGATGATGATGATGATGGTGTTGATGATGATGGTGGTGAAACATGATAGTATTGATATGTTCATGATTGATGATAATGATAAATTATGTTGATAGTTATTGATGATAAACCATAATGATGGTGATGATAATGATGATACGTGATGATGATGATATTCATGATTGATGATAATGATGCAGAATACTGTTGATGATGATTGATGATAATCGATAATGATGGGATAATACATGATGATGGTGATGATGATGTTAATGATTGATGATAATGATGATGCGGCTGCTCATGATTAATGATAATGGGTAATGATGATGCTGATTTATAACATTTTGATGATGATGATGATAGATAATGATGCTGCAGATAATGATGAGCGTATTGTGATGATGGATAATTATAATGTTATATATAATTATAAATGATTTATAATATTATCATCATTTATTTTTTTTAAATGTGCACTGATCTTGTTGTAAACATCTATCGTATATTTACGTTACAAATGATCATTTGTATATATACGAGACTAATGTAAAATATACTTTCAGTAAAACTGATTTCCTATTTCCCCCTCACATCGGCAGATATCAAAGACTGATATCATATCATACAACTAGTGATTAATACCAGGGTGAAAATGGTACGACACATAAGAGTGAAGGGTGTTTACCACCATTCGTAAATACTAGTAGAAAGAACGAGCACAAATAGATGGCAGATCAGGAAAGATATATTTACTCTTACTATTGGTTTTAGATCCATGTACGACTGCAAGAAAACCATCAAAACATTTGTTCCATGCAATCCTGTTAATTGACCATCTGTGCGGCGTGTCGTAGAAAGGGATTTTTGATCGGCTCAGTAGTGTAAAATATAAGTTTTATTAATTGAACTTGCAAGGAATCATATGAATTTTAGTAAAAGTACCTAGAGTTTTTTTGTGCACCACAACGATGCTAAAAAAATCGTAACTAATTTAGAAAAAATTTACTAAAAATTTCGACAACAACCCTAAGGCAGTTTTCCTTGATTACATTGAATCAATTTAGGTCGGAAAAAGACGTTCCAAGAGGTCCAAGGTATCAGGATTATCTTAAATAAAAAGCAATATTTAACTACAGTAAAGTTAGAATTTTGGAAGGAGTTAATTAAATATTATTTCTCTAAGCATTTCTTTTTCTGTCAACCCATTAAAATCAATATACGAACCGTGTTTATCATATCTTTGTAAATTTACATGAAAAAATAGTTAAAGCAATTTTTTTATGTGGTTCTAAAAATTTCGGCATTACGAAAAATCAGGGTTTAAAACTTCAAGATTTCACTTCTGAGAACTAAACTCGCAGCTAGATTATTCTAGGGGCTCATTTAATTCTTGATTCACTTGAAAAAGATTTTTCACATCATTAAAGACTGCTGCTGAAGATTTGCATGAACCACGGATAAAACAAAATGACGGCTTTAAGATGAAACAATCTTAGTGTAATGAACAAAGTACTTCAAAAAAAATCTCAATCGGATATAAAGGAAGGGTTTAAAAACACTTGCAAAGCAAAGCTCATTAACAGGAATTACGCACGACTTTCGGCAAGGTAGATAGATGTGGCGTGCCGAAAAAAACGCCCGACATCGACTAGAAACTCACCAAATCACAGTAGCTTGTACTTGAAAACACTAGAGTTGGAGAGGAAGGCGAGGGAGGGTCAAAAAAGGTGCGACAAGTGAGATGAAACTCTATTGGTCAGAACCTTCACAGGAAATAGAAAGAGTAAACCAGAAAGATTGACGTTACGATCTTCAAGAATCACTTAAAATGAGAAACAGGGTTTCTTAGCTAAAAGGTACCTTGAAAACGACTTAGTTCATACTGACAACTCGAGGCAGTTGGACCACAGATCATTCGTAAGTAGTGGAATTTGTTGTCTAATACTGGATATCGATCGCGCGCCGTCAAGCCAAGAATCCGCCTGAAAACATCGTCTTCTAGCACCAAGTTAGTTTTTTATCAAATGAATGTTTTGCATTTTTTTYCCCTTCCAAACACTGAGCTGCGAAAAAGGAGCTAAAACTGAGAATTATTTGTGTGTGGACCGTTTTTTATAATTTTCTATTGGAATATTCTAAATTTTAAGCGAAAATATCTATTTTAAGAATCCTGAAAAGAACCAGATTGAATTAAAAGGGAAAATAAAAGCAATAAAGCGAAAATACATGAATCACTTCGAACCGAACTGAGTTCGAAGGCTTCACAAACTATTTCAATTTCTTGGTTTAATCAGTTGCTTGCTTAAAGAGCTCTAGTTCTAGTTCATATACGAAAGTTTTAAACTAGAAAACCGATAGCTGCAAGAAAAAGTAAGATAAATGATCGTTTTACTGAAGGATTTTAGTTTCTGTGTTCTAACACTTATCATTGACAGGTGTTATTCTCTTGCACAGATGTTGCCATGAAAAAAAATTTCCAACAAGTAGTCCAGCGCAGCTTGGGAGGCGAAAACTAGTAGAGCGGAGATTTAATTAAGCCTTAAAACATTACATGAAGATAAGGAAATACGATAATCAAAATAACACCTTGAGAAACTATATTAGCCAGTGTGCTACCTCACTCTCTCATAAGGTTTTAAAATCTAAATTTTTCCATTCCATTTTATTCTTTTTTCTTCTTCTAATTATATTMTTGAAATGAAACTGAAGGCAACGAAGAAAAACCTTCATTTTCATCAAGACCGACTTACAGCGAGATTACTCGGCTGATAAAGATAAAGTATTATTATTATTATTAATGATCCACAAACTTATCGTTAAAGTTAAGTAATATTCATTTGTTTGTAGGTTTCTGTCTCCTCGATGGCTTTACCTAAGCCGACACACCATTCAGTAGAAGTCAAGATGTATTTTTTTTGTTTGGTTACCTCTGAGTATATACCAGTCTAGTATTACTTTTACTGGCTATATTATATATCTACAAAATCTCAATACTGAATAATCATCATTTATCACTAGATAAATGTAGGCCGGTTATTTTCGTTCTAAGTTTAATCCATGGTAATAGGAATACATGAAGCTTAAGATTAAATGGAGACGAAAATACGCTGAAACACGTATTATCGAAATTGCTAGTATAGCAAGTCTGTAGACAGTTCATTTACGATTCATTGTTAATTATTGTGCTTTAGTATATGTATCGGGTTATCTTGGAGATGATATCACGAAAACTCTTGTGCTTTTAGCCAAATAGCTTGGACATTTCTCACTCTGCAGCACCTGTCCAAAGCAAGATTCTGGTTGCATTTTCTCAACGTATTGCCTATGGGTTTTCGTTCACTCTAGGCATTTTCGTTGTGAATAAAAGACGGGAAAAACCGCTTTCTTGGAGCCATATTGAATGACACTGAATAGCGCATAGTTGGTTAACAACGACTATCATATAGACCATTTATTAGAGTCTGATGGTGCTATCTCGTTTTGTGTCATCTATCATAAACCAAATTAGCGAGAAAAATTAAAACGAATGAAGAAAAAATTGAATTAACTGCTTGCGAGTTCAGCTTAGAACTACGAGGCATTTATTGACACAACAAGTAGCTTTATGGTGGTGTTTTTGTTTGAATTAAGTGTTCAAGTAAAATATGCTCACATGAATGACATGACACGTTTGCCTAAATCCATCAAGAAGAAAGATCTCTCGTCACGACAACCAATAGGAATGAAGCGGATTTTTGATGGTGTCTCAAATGGCTTTCGCTAAGAGCCATGCAATCACAAAGCTCGGAGCTTCATCTTGTCCAATCACAATCGCAGATTAAAAACGGCGAGGCCTCAACTTCGCAGCGCCTGTTTTCCGCTTCCAGAAAACGGACGTCAAAAATGTCAGAATGCAGAAAGATATCCAAGTAAAGAAGTTAAAGATCTATATTAGTAACGTCGAGGTACTGTCAAGCATATCCGAAGGGTTTTTCATAGCATGGCTGGTCTTAATGTAAACCGCCATGAGGGGGAACTATTTCTGCAGTCTTATCATTATAATTAAGTATGAAATATTATGTTCTAGTATCGTGAATTTTACTTGAAAAGTGCAAGGTAATTTGAAGTAAGCGCATGCGTGGGTGTAGGAAGTAGGCCTTATCGCGCCTCTTCATACGTCTCTTTTAATCTACTAAATGTAATTTGTCTTGCGTTTAAGTATTTTTCACTAAGTCTGCGTTCATAATGTATGGCAGAGGGAGGAGGGGGGGCAGGTGAAATTTAGGGCATCGGAAACATTTTGTCCAATAAAATGGGGGGGGGGGGTTTGAATTTTTGTTTTAGAGAATTGGGGGAGATGCAAAACTTTTAGCAGAAAAGCTACGAGAAATTGCTCTATGTAAAAAAAGCTTCTCAAGTCTTCTTTAACCTTCGTTAAGGACTTACGGGTAGCAGTAATCAGTGATTGAGTAGCAGTTTTAGCCAATCACAAAATGCGTAATAGTTTTATCCAATTAGAAATTGCGTACTATCTAGCTATACAAGTCTCTTTTCTCTCAACCAAATACTGGATATTTCGGATATGTTTTGGAGCGAAAGCCGACTACTAACAAAGTGTGCCTTCTTAATTAAAATCAATGAAAATCAAAGCAAACGAGACCCACATCTCTAACGGAAAGTATTTTGTAATTAAAAATAACTCCCATTATAACAATAATAAACAGTACTTTAGGAAATGCAACGGAAGAACAAGCAAAAACACGAGTGACCTGGTGGTCATTATCAATTCCATAATAGTGTACTTACGCGTGTTTCTTATGAACGAAGTAATTTCCCGCCATAGTTGACCACCCTTTTTGACCCATCCAAACGAATCATTCCATCACTTTCTTAGTTGCACCTAAAAAATAAAAATAAAAATTTTCTTGCAACTTCCTCTCGGTGTTTTTGATAAACCTGACATTCCTAATTAGCCCAAACAAGATTCGAACTCTTCTATCCTAATGGAAACAATATTCGCTAAAAGAGTTTTTACTTTTAATTGTATTTGCAGGAAGCAAGCCCTCCGGGTCAGTTTTTGGAATTGTCTTTTATATAACAAGAAAAGATGCTTTTTATACCACAGAATAGACTTGAGATTGCATAACCTTAGATCGAAATAGCTAGAACCTCGCGGTACAAGAATAAACTACTGAAGGTGGAATAATAGAAAAGAAGCTGAGACAAGGCGACGAAGTTAATAGGAATTCTACCATCGTGAAAACTGACGAAACTGAAGTGGGAATAGGTAACTGTGGAAAAGAAGTTGACATTTAATTTGAAGAAAAGGAAAAGAAAAGGAGACGTCAGTAGGAAGTAAAGGGAAGAAAAAAAGTAGAAACTGGAAAGGAAGAAAGAGAAAAATGATTGCGTTGTGAGAAATAGAAATAATAGGATTATCAGTAATGATCCTCTGGTTTAAGTGACAAGAACAAAGTGGATAGCATCCTCTCGGCTTTCCATCTGTTAGCTACGTACACCTGGCTGGATTCAAGTCAACGAATCCTGTGGCAAAAATCGAGAAATCTCACATTTAAATTCAACAAAAACCATTTAACCACCCAAAACCAGAAACAGCGGATCTACAGAACGAAACCTGTTGTGCATTGATTCCTTTAGAAAAACAGTCCACTTATTATAAAAGTATCGAGAGAAATTTTGCAGCATTTTCATCGAACTAAAAAATCCATTTGGACATTTCCTTCAAATCTAATTTGGATTGTTTTTTTTTTGTTTTGTTTGAGACTGAGTTTCTGAATAGGTTTTTCTGTGTACGAGTTGAAAAACAAGAACTTGAAGGAATTAGTAAACTGTAAAGCTCCATCCTACGTACAACAAGAGGAAACATCTAACATCAAGAAGCGAATAAAGTTGACAAACTGTCTTTTCTCATAACGAGTGATACAAATAAGGTTTTGTTGAAGTGTCAGTTAAACAATACCGTAGGAAACCCTGCCAATAACGTCAGGCAAAGTTTGAAGAGGACACTTAAGGAATTAAGTTAAAAAACATAAAAGCCTTAAAAGCCTTTTTTTCGTGGAGTTTGTTTTACGGAAGTTTGTTAAAAGGAATAGAAAATTTAAAGCTAATCTTGACAAAAAATTGCGTAAACCAAGCCATGGATCCAACTAACTCAAGCTATACTAGCGAAGGACCAAGAACAGAGCCTTGGGGAACACCAACAAGCAATTCAACTATGGATAATAAGACGGAGGCGTGCTATAATCCTGAGGAAAACCCGGTGTTTAGAGCTGGAGTTATCATATTATACTGTGTCATCTTCCTCGCATCGATAATCGGGAATGCATTGATCATCATAACCGTACGTCGAAACCCCCATATGCATTCAGCAGTGAATCTCTTCATTGCTAACATGGCGGCGTCGGATATTTTACAAGCGATTTTCGGAGTCCCTCGAGTGATAACAGAAGTTCTTTGTGGCCGAGAGAGCTGGCTGATTGGAGGGAAAGTCGGTATTTTCACGTGCAAGTTGGCATACTTTGTACAAGACACATCTCTGAGTGTATCTGTTATCAGCCTGATTGTTATCACAGTGGAGAGGTTCTACGCTGTCATCTTTCCTCTGCAAGTCTCTCTCCTCAGAAAGAATTCCAAGATCATTATCCCTGTGATCTGGATCTTAGGGGCATCTCTACATGCTGTGTACTTCCACATCTTCACACTGAGAGATGGGAATGCTCCATATCCACTCTGTTACCAGAAATGGAGCTCTCCAAAGGTAGCCATGGTATATTACACTGTCATCTTCGCTGGACTCTACTGCCTGGCGTTATTGTCCATCCTGATCATGTACACCTTGATAATTGCTAGGATACAGCACAAGAAATCCACGAGCGCACAGGAAAGCAAGCTAAGAAAATCAAGAGATGCTCAGGAGCGTAAGATTTTCAGCGTAGCAGTTGCAATAACAGTGGTGTTCTTTGCATGCTTCTGTCCTCAGACGGTTCTCGTAATAGTCGCGCCACTGAATGCTATTCCCTTCTGCCATATTGAAGTCCTCCGATTCGTCACCAAGGTGATGGAGCAGACCTACTCTGCGGTCAACCCGATTCTTTGCATCATATTCAGCCTCAACTACCGGGAAGGTTTTATTTCAATTCTATCAAGAGTGGCTGGCAGAAGTAATACAATCAACAAGAGCAAGAGGGTCCGGCTTCCACGAGAGATGAAGATTAGAGGTAACGATGTGCAATCCGCTTCCAACTCCAAACTGAAGGAAACTACCCCAAAGATATTGAAAACGTCAGATCTGGAAACTTAAGGTTTTTGGTATGGTTTCTATGGAAACTAAATTAAAGTAATGTCATGTACTAGCCTGGTGCGGAAACGTCGTCATGGAGCTATTAGTCATGTTCAATTCAACTACAAAATGCAAGACATTTGAGCAACATAAGAATCAAAAAAATTAACTCTATGGGAACCAAGGAAACTGAAAGTAATGCCATGTGCAGCACACGAACGAAACACCAGAAATTTCAGCGATATAAGCATCGAAAACTAAAGATTGTAGCTTGGCGCGTTTGCTAGGTTAATTGATTTGGCCATACAGAGGAGGCATACAACTCAGTAAGGTACTTGGTATTTGTAAAAAAAAAAACTATTTTGGATAGTTTGCGGCAGACTAGAAGTAAAATAAACGGATTGACAACGGCGCTAAAAATAATAAATGAACACAAGTATATCTATCATATTCAACAAACTTAAACACTTGTAGTTTTTCTCATTTAGGAAATATAAGGAGGTGTACATCGAACGTAGAAGTGAAGCCTCCAATAGAGTAGCTTGTAACTGTCCAAACTATTTGCTATATGAAAGAAACGTAATTCACATTTCGAAATCATTGATGAGAAAACTGACCGGACGAAAGGGAAGTTCAAGAAGTAATTAATTGATTTAAATCCTTATTACTTAATCTAATATTGGACAGATGTAAAATAAAGTACTGTACAACCGATGCGTAGGTGTACTAGTGGCAAGATGTGGGGGTGGTCCATTCATACACAGTAAAAGTAAAACATTTCCTGGAAGCTTTGTCGAAAACCTCCCCCTTTTCCTTCGTCTCCCTCTCCTCCTATCCCACTTCTTCTTCCTTTTTCTCCCTCTATCCCTCTTTTTTTCCCTCTACCCCTCTCCTTCCTCCTGCTCCTCCTTCGCCCCTCTTCTTCCTCCTTCTCCTCCTTATACCCTGGGTATAAGAGAGGTACCAGAGGTACTACGGGCATAAGAGAGGTTCCAGAGGTACTACGACCGAAAAGCACTGGAACGAGAGCTTGAACCCAGGGTACCTTGTCGTCATCGTTCACAAAAACAACATATAAACTACTGATATTCGTACATTAGTTTTTTGAAGTCAATAAGATTTGAAAAAAAGGTTAAAGCTTCACTTAACAATGAAATCTACCCCTCCATCATAAATGACAATCAAATGATTATCAACACAAGATAAATGAGTATATTTCGTTTAACAATTACTTTAGTGGCAGAATTTACTCTCTCTTCTCATGCAGACCTATCTGCCTCATTTTGATGCTGGGTCACCATATTTCCCTATACACAGATGTTAATCCTAATGTCTTATACAATCAGCTCGGGGACCTCGTCTTCGACCGAGTAGACCTGGGTTTTAACTTTGTCACACCATTCTGTCAGCCGGTCCTTCATGTTGGAGATCTGTGGATATCAATAGCATTAGTTATATCGTAGTTCTAAAGATGATGGACGTCAATAGAATAAACAATATAGAGTCGTTTTACTGCAGCCACGTTGATGGATGGCTTCTATCAAAATCCCTAGATTCTATACTGTTTTCTCCTCTTTACTCCTATAGTATCTTGAGAGAACACACAAGCAGATAAAGGGAGGCTCAAACAAATGTAAGGGCAAAAAATCTGAATGTAAGTGGTGTTTTAATGTGGTTAAATAAAATATTTAAGCAAAGTTAGACTTGAACTAAGTTGCCTGTTATCGCAAGTATCTGTCATCAAAAGGCTATAGCTTCG